ATCAATTGGGTCACCATCTGTGAATGTAAAGAATATTAAATTATTCAACATAGTCAAACTAATTGTCAAACTTGTCAAAAATGTTCAAACATGGTCAAACCCAGTCAAACTTAGTCAACCATGGTCAAACCTATCAAACATAGCCAACCTAGAAGTAGTGAAACCTATCAGAATGTTCAAACATGGTCAAACTTGGTCAAACCCAGTCAACCATGGTAGAACCTGTCAAACATGCCCATCTAAAAATCAGGTTCAGAGTTATCCATTATTCTCAATAAAGCTTTCTAGACTAAGTACATTTATTGAAATAAATACGTAAAGATACTTTAACTTACTTGGAAGGGAGAATGCCAACAATGGAGATGGTAAAGAAGAAGATGTTGTTGATTGGTGAGTTAAGTTGAACTCAAAGAGGAAGGTTTGAAAGCGTTCCAACGAAGTTCAAAGCATAGCTTGTTCAAAAGCTTCAACCAGGAGGATATACGCTAGGAGGAGGGCATCCGTTGGAAGAGAAGAAAAGGTTTGATTTGTGAAGGATATCCTTAATAATAATAAACCTTATGAGGGTACTTTGATAAAAAATCTCTTTTAGGGGCATTTTAAAATTTTGTGGTGGGAGCATGCTGCTGCCAGGGCCAAACGTCTGTTAGTGTTCACTCGGGTGAAAGTATTTTTTTAATTCTCCGGTAGTAACTTACTAGGGATCTAACTTGTGTGTAAAAAAATATAATTCACACTGATAAGAAATGTAAATTCAGATAACTAGGAATGTAACTTATCTAAAACATTGATTTTAATGAAAATAAGGAGTCTAATTTCTTAATTACTTAACATAATAGGTGAATATGTTTTTTCTATATTAAGGCCATAAATAATATTTTTTTCTTAAAATTATTTTTTTGCCAAAAAATCCTTTTTTTCTCCTGTGTTGATGTTTTTGTTTCAATAGGAGGGGCTTCCTTATATAGTAAATATGTTCTACTTTTAATATTAAGGCCATACAAATGTTTTTAAATGTTTTGCCAAATAAATCATTTTTTTGCCAAAAATTATTTTTTTGGTAAAAAAATGATTTTTTTGTTTCAATAGCAGGCTTTTATGTTGTGATGTAACTCGTGTTATCTAAAATGTAACTTGCGTTGATGGAATATTTAACTTAAGTGTATGTAAAGTGTAATTTGTTGAGAGAAGTTCAAATGTAACTCACACATAGAAGAAGTAACTCGCGCACTATAAGATGTAACTCGAACATAAGAAGATGTAACTTCGAATAATGTCAAATGTAACTATAGAAATTTTCTATAAACATAACTCACGCATGGGAAGATGTAACTCGCGCATAATAAGATGTAACTCACGCATAAAAAGATATAACTCGTACATAATAAGATGTAACTCACGCATAAAAAGATATAACTCGTACATAATAAGATGTAACTCTAATATATATATATATATATATGTATGTGTATATATATATATGTATATATATATATATATATACACACACACACACACACACACACATATACACACATACATATATAGGGTGTGGTTCCAGTGAGAACGATGCTTAACGTGAGAACGTGAGAACACTCACATTTTAATCAACGTGATGCACAATGGAGCTATTCTGTTGCACATTTTCAATTTGCTCGAATTAAGCCTATTCGAATAAACACGGTGGCATTTTGGTAAATATTGTGAAAATGTGAAAATGTGCAATATACAAGCTTCGTTGTGTAACACGTTGAGGTAAATGTGGTGTTCTCACGTTCTCACGTTAAGAATTGTTCTCATTTGATCTTTATTCTACATATACATACATACATATATATATATATATATATATATATATATATATATATATATATATATGTGTGTGTGTGTGTGTGTGTGTATGTATGTATGTATGTATGTATGTATGTATATATATATATATAGAAATTCTCAGGTCCAGTAGCTTTCCGTCCGAACACCGCCGTTCGGGGCGGTTCCCGGTGGAATGTTTTGATGATTGTTTTTGAACATGTTCCTCATCAAGTCTAGTTTATCCATACCAAATTTCAGCTTAAAATTCGATCGGGAAGGCAGTCAAATAATTTGTTGAAGTTAACTGCATTTTTCTATGTATAATTTGGCGCAGTTAACTTCAACAAATTATTTGACTGCCTTCCCGATCGAATTTTAAGCTGAAAATTGGTATGAATAAAACTAGACTTGATTAGGAATATGATCAAAACATTTCATCAAAAAATTCCACCGGGAACCACTCCGAACGGCAGTGTTCGGACAGAAAGCTGCTGGACAGGAGAATGACTCTCTCTCTCTCTATCTCTCTCTCTCTCTCTCTCTATATATATATATATATATATATATATATATATATAGATAGATACACACACACACACACTAAGGGTATGTGGCACAACTAGGTGAAAAGATACTTTTGTGAGGTTTTTAATAACTGTTAGCTTTTAGTGACCGAAAATATCTTAAAAAGAAAAGGTGGTAGCTGTTTGGTAAAAAGCTGACTGTTTGATTTAGTTCAGTTTGGTATACAAGTTGTTAGGACTAATTAATACTAAAAGTCACGAGCTTTTTTCAGATGCTACTCCCTGTAGCATTCTCTTCATGTAAAGGTGTATGCTTGAATTAGATTTGATTAGATTCAATGACAAATCAAATTTGCCACTGGATTTTGACTTTAAGAACTCGATTGAAATTAAAATTAAAATTATATGAAATTAGATTCAACATGTAAATTCAATATGGAGGTTTCGTATAGAAAGGAAACGGATTTGTGGGCGTAGAGATGAAATCGCCTAGCGATTCAGGAGTTATAAATGAGAGATTTCCTAAAATAAGAGTAAATGAAGTTTGAAATTCCAAAATAGGACTACTTTGTTTTTATTCCCGAAATGAGACTAACATGGCAGTATTTACTGTCATCTTGTAGCCGTGACTGCCAAATAGTTGCAGTACAGTGCATTTAACATGACAGTATATATTATAATTAATGACAGTATTTTTCAATCATGACAGTATTTTTCATACATGACAGTAATTTATTTTTTGGGAAGAAAAACATACTAGTCCTATTTTTGGAATTCCAAGTGTCATTTGCTCCTATTTTGGGTAATTTACCGTTATAAATTTTTTCCTGCTCTGTTTTTGAACGAGATGGCCGGAGAAGATGACGAATTGTTCGGTCTCTTTTTTAATTATTAATTAAACGCTACCGTTTTGGGATCGGCACACCATGCACACATTGGGCGGATCCCATGGTATAATTTGCGGAGGCTCAAGGGCCAACACATATTTCATTATTTTGCAGTTTCCCACAAAACTGGAAAAAGAAAAAAGAAAATAGGAAAATGTTCAAAAAAATAAAACAGGAGTAAGGAAAACAAGAAAACGTGTTTATCAAATTATTTTTCCAAACTAAAAAATGAGATGTCATTATTTTCCTGAATAAATTGAAGAAGTGAGTTTTAATAGTTTTCCAAATTTGAAATACGCCGACGCCGCAGCGCTACTACAACGGATTTGCCTACTTACATCTAAGGATGGACCTGGTCTAGTCCGGTCTCACTCCGGTCTCGTTTTTGATTCGGTCGATGACGGGGCTGTCTTGGACTGATCTGGTCGACGACCCAGCTGTCTCTATCCGGCCAAGTCGACAACTTGGCACCTATGTCCCGACCTTGTCCCCTTTTTTAATCATTTTTTCACAGTGTTGAGTTTCAAAAGAGTCATCGAGTTGTCAACCAATGGGGAAAAAAGAAAAGAATTAATCAAACAGGTCATTCGGACCAACCAGATCAACTGGTTCATGTCCCAACTTCCCTATCTCGGGATCGGTATCCTATTTGGGCGGTATTAGGTTCAGTTCCGGACAGAACTGTATTTTTGGTTTTTCGACTGGTCCCGAAATTGGGTGAAAAAAAAATTGGTGAACATGTTTTAAAATTTGAAAATGAGAAACTAGAAAAAGAAAAAGAAAATGACGAACGAAAAACTAGAAAATGAAAACAAAAAATTGCAGAAAGAAAAATAGACAAAAACGAAAAATATCTATGTTAGTAAACGGACTCTAACCTTTTCTGGGCACAATTAATTAAGAACGTAATGATATAACTCTAGGGAAACAACCAAGAGTTATTTAATCTTATTGCAGGAATTCAGGGTATTATTTGAGAACTGAATTCGGACAAGAAGTTATTGACCGAAAGAGTGTTTACGGAGGGAGAGAAATCATTCATATGAAATTGTCCACTCTCTAATAGCTTCCCATTCGTTTAAACCTATATAAACCTATATAGGTTTAGATTGAAACCGATCCAACACGAAATAGTAAATAAATGTATTAAACTTGTATGAATACTTTATTTTAACGTGGAAACCCTGAAGGGTGAAAACCACGACACTTTTCGATCTCTGCTTTGTGAAATTAAAATTTGGATGGGGCTAACTAAAGATTTTGAAATTAAAATCAGTTGGAAAAAGCTAGTTTGCTTAAGGTGTTGGTTTAGGAAAGGGAAGCGACTAATAATAGTTTTAGCTTTGGCCAGATTGTAATTACAAAATCAGTTGGAAAAAGTTAGCTTTCCCATTAATAATGATGAAGTAGGTCTCTTGAAACTACCGTTGCTTTTAATTTTTGGGAAATCAAACATTTTTTAGTTTTTTAGTGCTAGTATTCAGTGAGCCTTTTGTATACAGTTGGGAACTACTTTTATCAACAACACTTCACTATCTATTTATGTGTGTCTGAAAGTTTTGATGTTTTCTATATGGTTTTGCTTCTTATAATTTTTCACTTTTAGGTTGCAAAAGTCTTGTTATATCCTAACGATATCTGTCCAATTTTTAGTTACCAACTAGTTCCTAATTTAGATATTTGTGTGGTTCAAGATGAAATTGGGAACAATCTATTTAGTTAAACAATCTGCATAAACTTCAACATCATTGACACTCGAGTGTGAAATGAAAGTTGCTCTGCATCCTGTTTTTGGATTCACATTAGTAGCTGTGATATATGTGCTATTAAACTGAAGTCCAATGTGCCCAACATGTTTTATTTTTGAAACTGCTTTTATTTTTTTTTGGATGAAATGTAAGTATATATTAAAACCACCCAAAAAATAACATTTTACAATGTATCAAAGTGAATCAATGAGTATCTAAGCTAGAATAATCTAACTAGATATAATGCATCACAATTAGAAATAAGAACCATGTTTCGAAAACAGTCATCAAACTGCACGGCAAGTGGTTGTTTATCTCTCTTTTCCTTTCTTGGATTTTCTTTTATTTTTATTGGCAGCATATTCCGCCGCAAGTTTAACCAATGAAAGCCGGAGAGCCTCATTAGCCTTAGCAATCTTGTCGTGCGCATCAATTGCTTCAGTTTCCCGTGCAGCAGTCACATGCGCCTCCAGCGCATCAGCAGCCAGCACAACATCAGATTCCATCCCAGCAGTAGGTTTCATTTGCAGCACATCAGATTCCACCTTCTCATGCGCAGCAGTAGACGGTGCAGCAGCAGGTTTAACAGGAATAGCAGCAGCAGGTTGCGACTCATGAGCAGCAGCAGGATGTTTGTCAAGCTCATGAGCAATTGCAGCAGCAAGTACAGCAGGGATAGCAGCAGCAGGTGCAGCAGGGATAGCAGGGATAGCAGCAGCAGGTGCAGGTGAATCCTCAGCAGCAGTAAGTGCAGCCTGGGAAATTGCAGCAGTTTTTGGCCCAGCTGCAGGTTGTAAAACAGCAGCAACAGAAGGTGTCACCAGCTTTGCAATCATTTTTCCTTTCTGCCTACGAACTTCCACAAATTCCCCTTCCGGGTCCACCATATCTTGCACCACAATGGCCTTCGTAGCCTCAATAGCCTTCGTGGCGGGTTCCCTAGCTATTAAAATAGCCTCAACTTTTTCTGGTTCACTGATTTCAGCTTTTCCTTTTGCTGCTAGTTTCTTGCAAATGAAAGGATGGTGTCCGTATTGTTTGCAATGGAAACAGTAGTTCGGAAACGTTTCATAGAGAACCCGTTGCTCAAAAGTCCTTCCTGATGTCATCTTGATTGGAAATGAGAGGGGAGGTGGCTTTGTCACGTCCACTTCAATCAATACTCTAGCGAAGTTGTGGTTTGCCTTTTCAAGCGTTATCCTATCCGTGGTGAGAGGAACTCCAACCATAGAGGCAACTTCGCTAATAGTATCCTCATTCCACAGCCTCACAGGGAGCTTAGGGAATTTAATCCAAATCGGCACCTTCAAGAACTCTTCATCTTCAAATGAGAAGTCATCAGACAGAACCTTCAAAACCAATAGCTTCCCAAAGAGGATATAAGGTCCCTCAAGCATAACCTTAGTCCTATCAGCTTCGCTCTTGAATTTAAAAACAACCCATCCCTTATCATGTGGTTTGATTTCACAGTGTACTCCCCATTTTTTTGCAAGGCTATAGGTTGCCTTTAAACCAGGAAACCTTCCGGTAAAAAAGCCCACCAGACAGTAGCCAAAGATATCCACCATTGAAGGTAGCACACGGTCTGAAAAATCCAGAAAATCACTGGTTGGTGGAATATACCTCAGTTTAAGCCCTTCGGTAGGAGCTCGGTTGTCTTTAAACAGTGTACTCCATTGCTTCCTATTTGGTTCATTGGTATCTTCCTTGTTGCATTCTGAGTTGATTGTTACTGCAGGGACATTAGCCTTGTCTGCAGATTTCCCAGGAAGGAGTTCCTCAGCAAGAGGTATTCCTATGTTTGCAGTTCCAGCATGTGTTACTGCCAATTTACCAGCAGTAAGCTCATTATTAGCAGCAACACTCGCAATAGGCTTATCAGTAACACTCTTATTAGGCAAAGTAGCTGCACTCTCAATAGCCTTAGCAGTAGCAGCTTTGCCTGAGCTACCAGTCCGCAAACAATCAGCATTTAGAGCCGGAAAATCCTCAGCCATGGTTTCCAGTACACTGAATCTGGATGACGACCTGGTGGCAATAGGCGTCACTCCCGTCCCCGGTTTGTTCCGCACCATCCCAGAAAAGGATGACAGTGAACAATAGGCGGCGATTATAAATCCCCCTCTTCAAAACAGCGATAGTGAATAACAGTAGCCAGCAAGGCCCAGTTCGTCGCATACACAGGGTAATCTGAAAACAAAGAGCACCTAACAACAAAACGATGACCAAGTCGTTCGAGACAGTCCTCTGCGCGTGAAATCGATTTGAGGCTATGAAGCCCTAAATCGGTATTCTTGATACGGCACCGAAAACTAACCTGCAACAAGGAATGCGAATCGAGACAAACCTTCAGCTCAAAACCAGAATCGAAGCCCTCCATACTTCCGCGTGAGTCTGCAACGAGGGTTCCAGAGAGAGACGCTCTCAACACGCGTGAACTCCATTTTACATGCTACTTGAAACTGCTTTTATTTTTTACTTTGTTGTTGCATATTGTTAGTCCCCTAGATTTTGCAATTAGTATTTTGATAATGCCATAGTTTTCTCTTTTATTTCCCCCCATCTTTGGTAGCTATCATGTATTCCGGCAGTTGGCTGAACTAGTAAAATATTGTTTAAATGTGTTAAGTTCAAAGCGTCAATTATCAAAGAAATTTAACTGGAAAATATAAAATGCAATAAGGTAATATTTTAACTACTTTAAAAGGATTTCTTATAGACCTTACCAGTTACATTTCTTTGATACATCAAATAACACAAAAACATCTCGAACAAACTATTTATTAAGATGGAACACAAAATGCAATAAGGTAATAATTGTTACCTTAAAAGGATTTGTTATCCTACCAGTTAAATAAATAGTTCATGTTCGAAATACTAGCTGAAGTGACCGAAAGACAAAAGCAAAATGTTTTGTATCAAGAAAATTATACCGGAAAAGTCAAAATGCAATAAGGTAATTTATTACCTTAAACGGATATTTAAATCCTACCGGTATATATTTTCTTTATCACAAAAACATATTTCTTCGTCACTCATTGAGAACAAATAAATGTATAATTTTTAAGACTAATAAAATTTATACTGGAAAGTAAAAATGCAATAAGGTAAAATTCAATTACCTTAAAAGGATATAATCCTACGAGTATAAATTTTATTAGACTCAAAAATTAACTGTTCGTTCATTGCTTTATCACCTCGTGATAAACCGGAGCCAATCAGAGAAAAGGAAAGCCAAGCATGGAGGACGTTTAATGCAAAGAACGTACAAAGCATGGGAAGCGCAGTCTAGTTGGATAAACACAGGAGAACTGCAGCAGCTAGGCAGAAAGAGACAAAAAGTATTATCGGCTCCAAGGAAGAAGACGAACAACAAGTTGTTATCTTCTAGAACAAAGATTCAACGTACAAGATTAAATCATCTCAACCAACGGATGAGATTAATCTACCGGAGATGCCTATAAATGAAGGCCGAAGCATGAGTTCGAAAATAAGTTTTTGAGTTCAAAGCAGAGAGATTCCATAAGCATTCAAAGAATATTTAGCAACTCTGCTTTGACTCATGCTTCACTAAGCTCTTAGACTAGATCATCATCTTCATATTTTTAGAGCTTAGTTTATAGTTGGAGACCAGAAATTCCTTGTAGTTTACAAGGTGTTGTAAAACACTTCAGGAGGACAGTTGTTCCCAGCCTGAGTGTGGTTAGATAGGTCATGAGTACCTTTTGATCCCCACTGGATCAATTGAGAAAAACCTAAAGGATTGAGTAGCTTGGAGTGGTGTTGTACTCCTCGTGAAACACCTTCAATCTAGGACAGAGTTGTTAAGGCTAGATTGGCACTAAGTGTATTGGGCTTAATACATTAGTGAAATCCATTTGAAATAGGATGGGACTGGATGTAGGAGGATTACACCACCTCTGAACCAGGATATACTGTGTGTTGATTCACTTTCAGTCAACAAAGCACACACTGAACACTTCTCACATAAAGATTGGAGTTTGCCAGCAGCATCCTAAGCAGTTGTCTTTATTGACCCAACTGCTTATCCTACTGCTTAATTACTCACTCTCTTTGAGATACACGAGCTTCACAATATCACAACAAAAAGGTCTGGTTCATTAAGATTTCAGGAAATACTACTTAAGGCATGACAGTTGCCTCAACAGTCTCCTAGGACTACTCAACTGCTGAGCCCACTGCTCACACAAAAGTATTTCCTGTGAACATCTTGACTTTACTAGACCTTTACATCTTTATCTCTAAGAAGTCTGTTCAAAATAATCTCTGTGATTCAGGGTGATAACCCAGCAGGTACCTCAACAGTTCCCTCACTATCACCCAACTGCCTAAGACCACTGCCTAAGTAAAACCCTCTACTTACTTGGTCCAAAGCACATCTTCAGAAAGTCCACATCATCCTGAGCAACACCATATAATCAAACCTTCCATACCTTCACCTTTACTTCAGCAGGTGCCTCAGCAGTTCCCTGGTTTCCACCCAACTGCTGAGACAACTGCTCTAATTTAAGGTTGATTATCAATCCACCTCAGTACATCATCAGAAAGCTCTTCCCACTCTAAGAAAGATTCTGAATGCACCTTCATCATACTCCAAGTATTTCGTAAGCAGTCGACTAAGCAGTTCCCTGCTTTCTAGCCAACTGCCTAGCCAACTGCTCACCATTAAGCAAAGACTTCATCCATCATAGAAAGTTGTTACACATTACATAAAGGGTAAAGACTTCCGCTGTGCATCTATAAATCTCTCAAAAGATTATAGATAAAGTCATCTAGAGGGAAAACTTTGTAAAGTCGAAAAAGATTTAAAAGTCTATTCACCCCCCCCTCTAGACTTTTACCCTATCCGGGACCATCAAGTGGTATCAGAGCGGAGTGTTCCTAGAATCAGTTCCTGACTAATTTGAACTAAAGATCCAAAACCACTATTCTTCCCAAAACAACTTTCTAACAATGGACAGACGTTTGGCAAAGAATCTTTTGTCCAACCAAAGCAAGTGTGATGACTGGAGAACCAATGATGTCTGGGATGAGCTTTCAATGATACAATCAGCTCATGATAAAAAAGGCTCAAGTGATGAAAGCAGTTCATCACGGAGTAAGGAGGAGACTCTGATTTGTCTCTATGGAATGCATCATCCTGAAAACTCCTCCAACAACTGCTCCTTGATAAGAACAACAAGTATTGACAATGATGAGGTATTATCATGTTCTTCAAATAGCTCAAATGATTCTAGCTGTTCCAGTGTAGACATGGAGGCATTACTCCATCAATTTGAAAATTTTCAAAAGGATCACCTTCTTTTAATGAACGAAAACTGTAGACTTCAAGTTAATCTAATAGTAGCCCAAGCTCAAATGGGTGAAGTGATAAAGAGAAATGATTTTCTTGAACTCGAAAACTTCAGTTTAAAAGAAAGGTTGAGCTCCCTCACTACCCCTATTAGTGAGGAAATCCATCACAACTGGAAGAACACAGGATTAGGATTCACACCCTTATCCAAGCCATTTGAAGACTCTCCCAAATACTCTCCTATCACAAAACCCACCACAGATATACAAGACACAAGGAATTCAAACCACCAACAACCTCACTCCCAAACTCTGTCAAAAAAGGACTCAGTCCTCCTCCAGACCAAAATCCAAACTTCCCTACAATTTCAACTTCCTGAATAACCAACCAAATCAAAGACTTGGTTGGCAACCAATCAAAAAGACCAACAACTTATCTCAGAAAAAGCTGATCACTTCTAATGCTCATATTCCTTCACCCCCTCACACAAGGAATAATGGTCACAATCATATAGCCTTTTCTCATGGAAACATAAATCCAAACGGCTATAGACCCATCAGCTCAAATTCAAATGGTCCTAAATTGGTATGGATGCCCAAACACATTCAAGGGAAGATGCCCACAAACTTGTGGGCTGTTACTCAAAACCGATGAAAACGGGAAGGTGCTGGTGTAGCCAACATTGAAAAGATTTATCTTCAAGCTACTCCATGATAGTCCCTGTTTCTGTAACAGCAATGAATAGCAGTCTAACAAAGAAGATTAAACGTAAAGATGAACACAGATGAATCGATGTAAAACCCTCTTTGATAGACCGTGAACTCGTACACAGAAAGATTTGCGTAAGGCTATAATGAATAAGTACGACGTTAACCTAATCCTGAACCCTCGGCTCCCTTTTTATAGGCGAGGTTCAGGTTAGGCGTGAAAGGCTTTTAGCCTGTTTATATGGGCCTAACACTTGGCCCACATTCTATCTAATATATGCACTTATTTAATACAAGGAATAATAATAAAGCTAATCTATGACAAACTTGATTCACAATTAAAATATCTTCAACAATCTCCCCCTTTGTGATCAAGTGCCACTTTGTTATTGCTTCTGTGACTTGAAATAGTGCTTCCTCATATTCAGTGCATGCTCGTATTGCCTTAGCATATTTCTCTTTTCTAGACGATCGTCAATGGCTTTTAAAATGGTCTCCACTGTAGAGTGTTCCTTTTGAACGTATGACGATGCCTCCTGAAGATTTTCCTCTAGCTGTGCCTTCATCTTTAGAAGCTGTTCTTTGATTATCTTCAGCGTTCCATCACAATATTTCTCAATTTCATTAACCACCATCAGTCGTTTTTCGTTCTTGTGGTTGAGATATGTTACTGCTGGCGGTGTGAAGAAGATGTGGTAAGATGGGAAGTCTTCGAGTTCTGGACCATACAGTCTTGGCTTTGTCAGATTTGTTTTTGTCAAGTTGCACTCAATAGCCATCTGTAGGTCGTGAGATGAGTGCACTCTGATTTGTCTGAGCATGAATCTCTTGATTGCTGCAAGACCTTCGCTGTATGTTTTGCTTTGCCTGACTGGAAGGTATCGATAAGCCATGAACATTTGATAGATGTCGTCTAGTTTAAGCATGATGAAATCATTTTCTTGGCAAGTAAATTCACTCCCGTCAGTGCGTTAAAGCCTGTAAGAATAGAATGTCACTCCGTGATAATCCTCGGCCTTAACCTGCAGGATTTGATGAATCGGGAGAATATTGGACTTCAAGTCTTGTTCCATCAGCTCTCTTTGAGTACCGGTTGACCTTTGCAATAGCATATGTAGATGACCTCCAGCCTGCTTTCCTTTGAGATGGGTAAGGCCTCGTAGCTTCAGTTCATTCAACGGTTTGACTTTGTCTGGTCTACGCCATATACGCTCTCTGATTTCCTCTTGGAAGGGGGATTTGATGCGAACATTGTCCCAAGGTTTCTCTGTCTTGGGAAGTCTTCCCGCTGATTGTCTGACGACAGATTCAAGTGTTTTCTGAGATTCCTTGTAGTTCTCCCCTTCCTTTCGTCCATCGTCCTCGAGCCTGATGATATCTTCAGCACATTTGTTGATTAGCTCTCGTAGAAACCAGTTCCTCTGCATATCTTCGCACTCTTCATCCTGCATGATTTGATCCATC